AAGAACAAGGGGACCGTACAGCAGAGTTTCAGTTAGATTTTTTTCCGCCGGTCAACATGTCCGTTAAAGTTCAAGTCTTCCGGACAAAATTAGAAAAGTGCCGGTCAAAGGTCATCTTTGTTATTTATTGAGCTTTAAAACAAATGAATAACGACTCTATGTAGACCCTCCAGAAAAACGCGATTCTGCGATCGCAGAATTTACCGCATAATCAGCAAAATGGCGCAGATTTTTAAAAAGCCGCATATTTATCAAAAGGCCGCATAATCCCCGCATTTTTCCACACAAAGTTGAGAAGAAAAAAAAATTAACTCGTCTTGACGTGACGTCATCAGCTCGCGCATCACAGAATGTAAACAACACTGTATAGAGCTCATTTACCAACGAACATTTACACTAAAGACCGGTCAAAAAGTGGGGGGAAACTATTCTGCTCCCCGTGCAACTGTGTGTTGCAGCATAAGAGAAAATCGACGGTGGCGACCCACTTTGATTCATTCAAACATTCGAAAATGCTTTCTGCTGCTGCGGACAAGAAAGCCANTTTAAAAAAACGGCTCTTTTGAACGACTCTTTTGAACGGCTCTTTGAAAGGAACGGAGCCATAAGATCCGGCTCCCTTCAAAGAGCCATAAATCCCATCACTACAGTGTTGTTTACATTCTGTGATGCGCGAGCTGATGACGTCACGTCAAGACGAGTTAACTTTTTTTTCCCTCAACTTTGTGTGGATAAATGCGGGGATTATGCGGCCTTTTGATAAATATGCGGCCTTTTAAAAAATCTGCGCCATTTTGCTGATTATGCGGTAAATTCTGCGATCGTAGGATCGCGTTTTTCTGAATGGTCTAATTAATGCTGAAAGGTACATAAACGTTTTCAGGGACGTCCCTGCTTATTTCAGCAAGACAATGCCAAGAGAAAGAGTGGGGTTACCAGACCGGCCTGCCTGCACTCCAGACCTGTCTCCATTGAAAGTGTTGTTGGAGGGAAGGTGATGTAACACAGTGGTAAACATGACCCTGACCCAGCTTTTCTGGAATGTGTTGCAGGCATCACATTCAAAATAATTGAATATTTGCAAAAAAACATAAAGTTTATCAGATGGAACATTACAATTTTTGTCTTTGTAGAGTATTCAATTGAATATGGGTCGAAAAGGATTCGCATTTATTGTATTTTGTTTTAATTTACGTTGTACACCACGGGGGGTTTGTAATTCCTGCGTGCTTAATGATTACTATTTTAATATTAAATAACAATTCGCAGCAAGTAAGCATTAAGGTAATATTTTAACCTTGTTATAATAAAAAATAACTCAAAACACTTATATAGAGCAAATCAATTTAGCTGGACACAGTTTATTCAGTGACATACCCTCGTGTTTTTTTTTGTATTCATTTTAAATTGTCAATGCCTCACACCAATACAAGTGTCTTAGACGCTTCCTCTCTCGTACCAGCATCACACACATGCCCACATTGTTCTTACCATCCTCTGTTCCATGCCCTGTCCTGGCCTCTGGTTGGCCTCGTGGCTGTCGGGGGGCGGGGACACGCTCCGGCCCTCAGGGTCCACCCAGCTGTACACATGGTCGGTGATGTAGCCCCCAGGGATCCGACCCATGGAACACACTGTAATGGCCAGTTTCTTGCATCCCTTGAGCACCTGCATCACAGAAAGAGGGTAAGGTTGTGAAAGTGCTACATACAGCAGACCTAGTGACACTTTCACGGCAATCCTTTGGGAAAATGGTTTTTGATCGCTGCAGCACGAGTACATGTGTACCACAAAGATCGTTTGTTATTGAATAGGAATGGACTTTACATTCACAATGCAATACAATACAATGCATATAATGTATTATTCTGTTCCTGATATCAAGTCTACCAAGTCATTATTGAAACAACAAAAAACGGTATAGTATCAACACAGTTACGCGGGTCAGCCAAGTCATTCCCAGGAGTTAAAACACCACAGCAGCTTTAGTATTAGTATTAGGGTAGGGGAGAGTGGGGTGAGATGAGACAGTGACTAAGTTGACCCACGCCCTTTATCCAGGGAACCGTGCAAACTTGCTGTCATGTGACCATACATTTAGAAAGCACCCATCATTACTATGTTGCTGTGATTGTCAGAAGCACATGGTAAATCAGTAAATATGTTTTTTTCCCAATGAACCATGTTTTGCTCGTCAAAGTACATTTTCAACATGTCAGGTATAATGTTATGTCAGAGTTTCCAGCTCTGAAAATATGTATCATAAATGTTGGTTACATTACATGTCATTTGTTAGACGCTTTTATCCCAAGCGATTCAGTACTGTGAGCAATCCCCACAGGAACAATTTGGGGTGAACTGTCTTACCCAGGGACACAACGACATGCTCACTGCAGTGGGACTCAAACTTGCTACCCCCTGATTCGAAGTCCAGCACTCTATCCACTGAGCCACAGCCGCCTGGTTATTTACCAAGGTGTAAAACAGTCTGAATCATTTAGCTAAAGATTAGCATGAAGGACTTAACTAGATTGTTTCTTAAATGTACCCCTTGACTAGATTGACTTACCCCTCAGAAGATATCCTGAAGTAAAGGTTGTTGTTGTCATTTGACTTCTATCAAATGTTTCCTTGCCTGGAAGAAAAAACATAAGTAGAAATGGGCTCATCTTACCCCACTCTCCCCTAAAGGTATACATTAAAATAATAAAAAATAATGAAATTGGCTGGATGGAATTGTTAAAGCTAAAGCAATGTTACAGTTAATGTTAAAGACAGCCAGCATCTTTGTGAACATTCTATTGAATCTAATATCTAAAATGATCACCCTGTTCTGCTGAAATAATGCCCAGTTGCCATGATTGGGAATCACAACTGGAGTTTGGGGACTAGCATGATTGTACAAGTATGCATTCAAAAGACTAAAACTAATGAAAATGATGTTCCTGATTTATGAGTTCTTAGACATTAGGGTGATATGCCTCACTGCAACTGTCCGCCATGGGGTTTCATTGTACCCCAAACCAAAAACATATCTTGATTACTCACATAATCCTTGCCTTATATAAAAGGTGTCTGGAATCTGCAGCGGTCATTTAGTGTTCTTTTTAATTTATTATTTCTCTCTACTGACTTTTTCTCTCAGACAGATAGCCCTGAAACTCCTCAGACAGAGAAAATGTAGGAGAAAAAAATTATTGTCTGTATTTAGTAAAGACTTAGAGGGTTTTCCAGTCATTTCAGTCAGGGCTGCCATTGCTCGCCCGACTTCCAGCAGCCACCAGCAGCTGTGCAGTAAACAGCTCTGGTAAACCCACTGTGCCATCCATCAACCCTGACTACTTAGTATACAGAGCCGAGTCTGAGTTCGCATTGGCACATGTAATAACACAAGTCACAAACATTTTGCCTCAGGACATAACCTTGCTGAACCTTATTTTGAACGCTTAACTGAATTTTTCAAGCCAGAGATGTTAAATATAATTTAAAAAAAACATTTGATCATTGGGCAACCATTACACAAAAGCCAGACTGTTGCTGGTAAATGTCACTATCTGTTTGACAAATGAATCCTGTTTAATGTATGTCACCTGCAACATGATGCCAGGGATGAAGATGAAAAAGAAACAACAGAAACACAAAGAGCTCAACATTGGATACATGTTTCTGTCAGAAGAGAATTACTTTTATAAGCATTAATTGTAGCATTTCAGTTTCCCTAGAAGATTTGCAAATGGTAATTAAAGCATGATTACATTAAGACTGAGGATAGGGAAAGATGCTGGTCTAAAGTCTGTGCTGACTTGAAGCTCAAAACAAGACTTTTCTAGATCACTTTGTTCTCTGTCATTATTGTTGCTTCTCATTTGGTCCTCAAGAAAGCTCTCCCTTCTAATAAAGGACTCCAGTTTGACCCCAATCTTGAAGCACAACTGCCCTGCTGAAGTGTCTTTGAGTAAAACACTGAAGGCTGTTGCTCTGTTGTTCAGTGTGACCCTTAGCCTCGGTGTGGGTGATTTTCCTCAGGGATAAAAAATAACTACAATATTTATGGATCTCTTCATTTGTCCTTTCCACAGCAACTTATATAGCAACAGAGGCAGATTATTCATGTTTAAAACCTGTCCTCTTCTTCCTCGCCTCCCTTGAAACTGTGGTGCCGTGGGGAGAATGGAAGTCGGTCCCTGCGGTGTTAATGAGTGTTCAGTTTGTGTGTCAGCAGTGCAACTGCAATGTGTCGGCAGTGCCATGGCCATAATTCAGTCTAACTGAGCTTCTTTATCACTGCCATCTCAAGGGTATCCAAAAATAGACAAAAGGTACAGATGAGCATGGCCTAAGTCACAGACACATCCAAGGACTATATGTGGTGAGTGAATGGGAGCATTCTGCCAGCTGAGATATCGGGCACACACACTGGCTCGTGTCTCAACTCGGTTTTTACATTCTGTAATCCAGAGAAAGTCAATAATATCTTTAAAAGCTACAACTCCCATTATATCAGCTGGGCACCATGATGCAAAACGACACCATAACTGTTGTTTCTTTTTTGATGTGCAAGGTGTTGTGATTAAGGTTTACAAAAATATACCCTTTCTACCGATTTGATCAAATATGAAAGTCAGACAAATTAGTATTGATGCTGCGAGGAGACGTATGGTGTGAATAGAGATTAAAAATGTTGTTTAATTGTTGATATATTTATGATCCACATCGTGCATGCAATTTGGCTGTGGGAGTTCTTCCAGTTTGTCCGGAAGTCTTCTAATCAGGGCTCTTTAAATAAAGAACTATGGCAGATGTGTTATATTTAATGCAGCCGAACCGTTTATTACAATGCATTTATTTGAGAACTTTCAAAGAGAAAAGTTAGCCCACACAAATTAAAGTATGATTCTTTGTTTTTCTTATCATATGAGCAACAATTCCTGATGTGGACCGCCACTAAAACTTCCAATCGAAGAGCTTGTTGACTAATCACAAGTTTTATCAAGTAAAGAGGACTGGCGTTGTGTTCACAACGATAGCTGAGGATTATGGTTAGTGTAGTTTCTTCGGCTATCCAAAAAGGTGGCTCTTCGCTGCAAGATCTGGTCGATGTCCTCCTCGCAGAAGCAATTGCCTTCATCGTTCTCGTCCATGATGGCGGCGTAGGCTCCTTTCCTCAGCAGGTCCTCGATCTCCTTCTTGGAGAACTGCTGGACCGGCTAAAGGCGACGCAGAGAGACATTTACACAAGTGGGTTTAGAAAACTCTTTTCGAAAATAAACTAAGCGTACTGCAACAGCGACTGACCCAAAAATGACTTGGCATCTAGAAATATGACAGATTTTCTTTTTCTCACCCCGTTGTTGTTGCCTTCTTTGTTCCCAGTCATGCTCTGCAGGACGGCACGGTCCAGCCCGAGCTTCAGATTAGCTATTACTATAACTATTTATATAGCACTTACACAATTGCAAAGTGATTCTCACAACAAAAATAAAGAACAAAAAAATACCAACAATAAAAAAACAAATGATTATAGGAATGTTAAGAGACAAAGAAATGATAAACATTCGAAGAGGCCGACTACAAAAGGTAGACTCGATGGTTCTTGATGACATCAACGAGCAGTCCCAAAACATGCTGTTGTATAAAATGAAATAGGTCCAGATTTCTTCTATTTAGTGTTGGATGATTTGTTGTATTGATTGCTGATGGATGTTAAGATATGTTTTACAATTATAACAAAAAGATTATTGTAATTGGAATCAAAACGTTTACAAATCGCAGTTTTAATAAAAGGACTAGCAATATAGGGTTTATTCAACAGCGGTAAAGCATTAAGTTGCTAAATTAACGTACACTGAACTGTAAAACTTACCACTATTTAGGAAAGGACCTGATCAGAAGGATTGACTAGTAAGACAGCAAAGAGGCGGAGGAGGTCTCTGTCATGTACCATTGGTAGATGTTACACCTGTTCGTGGGGAAGTATGAGCGGGTTTCTGACGGTGTGAAGTCTAGAGGATGATGCGTGTCAGGGTTGCGGGACCTGTGTCGCCCTCTTTGTTGTACGAAGTCTCGAGGCTTTTCATGACCAAAATTTCTTTTGGTCGTCTTCTTTTATCAGGAGTTTCACACACGCACGCCGGGCAGCCTGCTCCGGGTCTGTCCACCTGCGTCTTTTACCGGCTATACGGTTGTTCTGCTTAGATGGGACTGGGAGGGAGGAAAGTGGTTACGCTAACCGTGATAAACCCTGGACGAATTCACTTCGCGTCGCCTTGCCTCTTCAATGATTGTATACCTCGGGACAATAGGGACGTCCTCATCGTCTGACAGCTTAGACGTCCACGAATGCGTATCTGTGTATGGAGTACATTAAGTACCGAGCTCGTTCCTAAACAAACGTTCCTCTTCCCCGTCTAATTCGTATAGTCTAGCTGTTGCCCACGGGTTCGGACCCCACGGGTTTGACACGAGTTTTTCCCGGTACTCAAGTGATTTGCTTCCCTTTAGGTCTCGCCGAACGTGGGACGTTCCTTAGGTCACCCTCAAAAGTTAGGGTGGCGCCGGAGTGTAATAACCACCTCAGACCATTTCTGAGTATCTCTAGACAGGCAGTCCAGACTTGGAGGTGAGAGGTAGTCGGTTTGGGAGCTGCTACTTACCGGATGTTTGGTAGAAGGACGTCTCCATCTCAGGTAGGAGTTATTGGCGGGAGAGGTGGCACAGGAGGCTAGGTGTGCTGACCTGGTGATGAGGTAGTGTAGGAGGACGATTTTTTGAGTTGGATATAATGGAGGCCCTTGAAAGGTCTCTAGACTGGAGATACGGTCCGCGGCGACCTTCGTGTTCTGTACCGCCCTAGACAAGGCCCGTATCTACCTGTTTCCTTTGGAAGCCGACGAGGTTCTCTCTGTCTGTACCTTGGTGTCACTCTTTGTGTCAATCGCAACTCTACGCAGGACCATCACTGGGTTGGAGGGCGAGGTGCCCCAGCACCGGTAATCCGTCTAATGACCTTGGTTAGGACTGACTACGGTTCTCCGACTGGGGCATGTCACTGCGAGGTCTTGCTTTTGGAGGTAATATCTGATCAGGGTATCGTTCGACATCTGCCTTCTTTTACTCAGAAGGATTTGTAGTGATTCCCTACATTACATATATGGGAATAAAAAGATTTAATAATAAAAACAGCAATGCCGAGGGAAAACCGATTAACTCATAACTAGACTTCTTGTTGATCCCGGCCACTTATCCTCGGCGTAAATTCAAATAAAACAAACTAAATAAGCTTGGAAAATTTCGTAAAAAACAAGTCATTCTCCAACGAAACGAGCCATTCCCCGCCCGATTCCGAAATTAACCTCCCGCCACACACTGGGCTCTCGTCGTCCGTCGTCGTATGGCAGTAGGCTGTGCAGTCCTGCGTTGGGAATACGAATCAGTTTATGTATTAATCCTGACAACAATTCGAAATTACAATTTATAAAAAAGCTAAAACCAAATGCAAGATGACCTTTATTTTGAACCTTTTCGTTGGCTTTGCAGGTCAATCAATGACGGCTCGGCTGTGACGAGGTCCGGGTTCGAGATGTACACCGGTTTCTTGTTTTGAAAACTCCACTTTCAAATGTTTGTTTGGAAAACCCGTAAAACGGCGATGTCAAACAGACAAACGTGGGTAGGGATTATAAGGTATAGAACTGTAGCACGTGATTGATAAATACATCTCTATTGAATGTCATTAGAAGAACTAAAAATATAGATTAAGATGTAACTGGAAGATGCAAGGGGATACTTTCATCACTGAGAATTATTCAAAAGTAGTTTATTGTAATAAGTTGGTTTTATTGTAGGTTAAGTGTTTATAAGTTATTGCACGACATTGGTTGATCCGCCACGGGGTTTCCATGTGTCGTATTGATTATTATGTGTGAACACATGTACTAATCATCCTGTGAATAGGCTACATATTGTAGAATTCTACACATCAAACATAAGTCAAAAGTAGATTAACATGGCTCATAACGATATGATAAGAGTACAAAATGAAGATGGTGTAACTATTAGCTAACTATTTTGTACGTGTCTGTCTTTCGTATAGGCAGTAAATTACCATTCGATAACGTGTAACACCTAAAAGTATTGACACAGAGGGTGTGTTTGGGTTTTGGGGACTGGTAAGAAAGTTGGTCATAAATGAAGAATTAAGGTTTTTTTAGTCTTATAGAAATTTTTTGAGTTCAGAAAAGATAGTCGCACGTGGCAATACCCACTTTATATTGGATAGGTGGTAACCTAGTTTTATTTTCAGTCGGCTTTATTCCAACTATGGCGTTCCTCGCATAAACACTTTTCTTTCTTCTACATAGCAAATTAACGACTAATAATAACTCGCTGCAGTGGCCAAAGGTCAAAGACACCGACAAGAAGGACAAACAGGTCTTCGGAAGGAGTTAGTCCCGGTATTTATTTCTTGTGCCGTCTAAGACATTATAATTCGTGCTGTGGCACTAATGTTTCGGCAATACATCTGAAAGGTTTCTCTCTTTTCGTTGCTCGTGTGTAGCCTTCTTTCATATAATAAAAAAAATTTACAAAATCTAAGTATTAGCGAATTGTGCGTTAGGGTTGTACATAACCTCCGATTTGTTGGTTACTGGCTGGAGATCGACTCCTAAAACCGTTAGTCCAAGTCACCCAACCACCAACACATAGCGCTACTACGAGCTTTCAGGGAATAACCGGATACAGAAGGTCCCTGAAATAACTTTAGTCAGGACTCTTTACTTGATTTTAGGTCTTCTAACATCTATTGCTTACTTCTCTTTTTGTTCCTTTACCACCATAACACTCATTTATTGTCAAACATAGTCTTTTGATTATTGTTTAATCTTTCTTTTTTATATATTTTTTTTAGGTCGTAAAGTAATAAGACTCCGAGGCTCGGGGGTCAATAAATGTAGTGTCTGTCGTTTTTTTCAGTCTGTACTATGTAATTTTATTTTTGTTATTTAACACCGGAACTATACTCATCTTGGCCATTCTTGTTCAAAAAATATGGCGTGCGCGGCCAGATGGTTCTGGGCTGCCTGTTTTGCACCGGCATAACTCATACGGTGCGTTTTGAGCGTAGTCTAGAGCTGTACCCTTACAATCGCATAGTGTACGTGCGTTTTAGGCTGAAGACGCATAGATTTACGTGCGTAAAGGTTACACTTTCGTACAGTAAAGTGCGTCTGCTTCCTCGCCAACCAAAGGTGAACCGACCAAGCTTGGACATCGTCCTCAGTCTTATGTTTTCATGTTACTCGACAGTACACCCATATATAATTCGACGGGTAATACCTATTTTCGCTAAAAGTGGGTAAATCATTAATGTAAAAATTTACACATGGTGTGGTTAAACAAAGGATAACGGCACATTTGGAGGTCCCGACATGTGTCAATTATGACGTTGAAGATTAAAACCCTTGTTGCTTTTTGCAAATTTTGATGTTAAGGCGTCCTCGTCTGCACGGTATCTTCTTGTGCACACGCTGTGTTATCGGTCGTACCACATAAGACCCCCCCGCAAGCTCAGGTCAAAACCTTATCAGACGGCACCCCAAAGCCAGGTGAAAGTTTCTGGAACTGCGGCCAGCATTGGAACGCGTGACGGTGAGGGTTGCAGTTTAGGGTCTCGAACTTCTAATTGTCCCAACAGTTGCCCTGACATCAGGTGTTGCTATTGCCGCCTATACCCATATCAAGGAGCGGTAGGATTTGAGTGCTAAGAAGAGAGTCCTATAGAATTACGTAATTGTGGTATAGGGGGTTGCACGTATACGCCGATTTGTAGGGCTCGAAGTTCGACTCCTAGAACCCATTTAGTCAAATGGCAGAATCAGACAAAGGCCACTGAATCAAATGCCGATTTTTTCTACCGATTTTAGGGGTTCTAATTCTAATCTGCTTATTATTTTTGTTCCTTATTACAACAATACAACTCATTTATTGTCACACAAATAAATCTTTTCTTATTGTTTAATCTTCTTTTTATCAAAAATCTTTTATGTCTATAAGTAATAAGACTTCGAACTCGTGGATAAAGAAACGGAGGTGGCTCTGCTGTTTAGTTAACACCGAACCATAACTCATTTCTTGGTACAAAAATGGACTGGGTGTCGAAGGCCAGCTGGTTCTGGGCTGTTTTGCACCCGCATAGTATCGTGCGTTTTGAGCCGTAGTCTAGAGTTACCTTTACCAATCGGGCGGATTGTATACGTGCGGTTGTTAGGTCTGAATACGCATAGATACGTGCGTAAAGGTTACACATTTCGCACAGTAAACATGCTTCTGGACTTCTCTCGACCCAACGTCTTTGGTGTTGGGAGAAGAAAGGAGGGTTGGTTTAGAGATTTTTGCCCGACGTTACCTAGACTATGTCTGACTATGTCTAA